TCCCTCCTACACCGCGCCCTTCCTGCTCCCCTTCTGCTCCCCCTTTCTCGTGCTCCTTCCTCGTCCTGCTGCTCTTGCTCCCCCTCCTCCCCCACTTCCCCTCCATTCCTTTTCCTTATAAGTAGTTTCTCCCTGTTGCACCCCAAGGCCAGTTTTCAGGGCGGGCCGGGCGTTTCGCCTGAGACTTCTTGACCGTGTATGACTCTGAAGCTCAAAAAGTAGCAATAGTTTCACGGATGGAGGGCGGGTCGTTTTCAAAATGTGGCTTTTGCTTTAGCGCCGCGCACATTCGTTTTAAACATTTGCAATGGTTTCATGGATTGAGGGCAGGTGGTTTTCAAAATGTGGCTCTCGCCTTAGCGCCGCGCGCATTCGTTTTAAACATTTGCAAGAGTTTCACGGATTGAGGGCAGTGGTTTTCAAAATGTGGCTCTCGCCTGAGCGCCGCGCATATTCGGTTAAGAAACATTGCAAGAGTTTCACGGATTGAGGGCAGTGGTTTTCAAAATGTGGCTCTCGCCTGAGCGCCGCGCATATTCGGTTAAGAAACATTGCAAGAGTTTCGCGGATTGAGGGCGGGTCGTTTTCAACATGTGGCTCTCGCTTGAATGTGCCGCGCACATTCTTTTTAAACTTCACAAGGGTTCCACGGATTAAGGCTGGTTCCTGTTCAAAATGTGGCTCTCGCCTTAGCGCCGCGCACATTCGTTAAACAACAATTGCAAGAGTTCCACGGATTGAGGGCGGTTGCTTTTCAACATGTGGCTCTCGCTTGAGCGCCGTGCACATTCGTTGTAACAAATTGCAAGAGCTTCACGGATTCCTACGATCTGCGTACCAGAAATTGTGTGTTCGAAGGATTCAGGATTATGCGGGTGCAACAGTTATGTTGGTTCGCGGTGTTGAAGTCCCAAACATGGCGTTCTGCCACGATTCCGGGTCGTCAAGACGCAGCAGGCAGGTTGACCCGTGGCGTTGAAATCCCGAGAACATGGTTTTGGTATGCTTCAGGATCTCCAAACGGGCCGGGTGTCTTCAAACGAGGCAGTTCCCACAATGGAAACGAACCGCTGTAGGGGCCTATGAAGAGGGAGCTAGGAGGGAGGGTTAATTTCAACATCGTTGATGACTCTTGGGTTCACACTGGTCCTCCTCCTCCTCCTCCTCCTCCTCCTCCTCCTCCTCCTCCTCCTCCTCCTCCCCCTCCTCGAGGCTTGTATGAGCACCAAGCGGACTACCACCCGAGGCCTGCCTCTACTGTCGATGGCGTTTCCAGCTGGATGCAGATCGTGTGGGCCCAGGACCCCAGCTCGGAGTCGACGGTCCTGGCTTGGCGCATATTCGTGGATGGTTCATGTACTAGAGAGGTTTCCCCAGAGTTCTCCAGGGCAGGTTGGGCAGTCATCCCTGTGGATTCGCAAGGCTCTCACTTAGCCACCATTTCTGGGCCTCTCATGGGATACTTCCCTCAACCCCCCCAGGCGGCTGAGTTTGCGGCCTAACTATTGCTGCCCAGTGCAGAGCACCTGGTACCCCGAGTTTCCCGGATTGTTTGAACGTGGTGCGCCAAGCTTTTGATGAGCCTTTGTTTCCAGGACCTCCTATCGTCGCCCGTATGCCGAATTCAATGCTCCAGGCGTTGGGTCAGGCTCCTGGGGACGTGTTTAAGTGTAAATGGCACCAACAAGATAGGCCAGACCTCACTGATGAGGACATCTTTTTGAATAATGGCAATGACCTCGCTGATCCAGCTGCCCGCCAGGCTGCCCCCCGTCACTCCCAGCCGTCCGTCCCAGAGGTTGACAGGGGACTGCGGGCTGAAATCATTCCGAAACTTGTTTGCCAGTTTTTGTTGTCGTTGTTGTTGTTGTTGTTGTTGTTGTTGTTGTTGTTGTTGTTGTTGTTGTTGTTGTTGTTGTTGTTGTTGTTGTTGTTGTTGTTGTTGTTGTTGTTGTTGTTGTTGTTGTTGTTGTTGTTGTTGTTGTTGTTGTTGTTGTTGTTGTTGTTGTTGTTGTTGTTGTTGTTGTTGTTGTATGTTGTTGTTGTTGTTGTTGTTGTTGTTGTTGTTGTTGTTGTTGTTGTTGTTGTTGTTGTTGTTGTTGTTGTTGTTGTTGTTGTTGTTGTTGTTGTTGTTGTTGTTGTTGTTGTTGTTGTTGTTGTTGTTGTTGTTGTTGTTGTTGTTGTTGTTGTTGTTGTTGTTGTTGTTGTTGTTGTTGTTGTTGTTGTTGTTGTTGTTGTTGTTGTTGTTGTTGTTGTTGTTGTTGTTGTTGTTGTTGTTGTTGTTGTTGTTGTTGTTGTTGTTGTTGTTGTTGTTGTTGAATTCTCATTCTTGAAGAATAATTATTGTTGATCCCCCCCCACCGGTGCACATTGATTTTTTTCGATTGAAGTGCCACCCCCGGGGCTCGCACCTTGTTTTTTCTCAAGGAAAGTCTTCCTGCTCAAACTGTGCCCCTGCCCCCCGGGCTACAACAACAACGGCTCCCGCCTGAGACTTCTTCGATTTTTACTCAGGACCCCCGCTCCCGCCTGAGACTTCCGCGCAATTTACTCAGGAAAGGCGCTCCCGTCTGAGACTTCCTCGCAATGTAATCAAGACCCCCGCTCCCGCCTGAGACTTCCGTGCAATTTACGTGGGAACGGCGCTCCCGCCTGAGACTTCTTCGAATTTTACTCAGGACCCCCGCTCCTGCCTGACATTTCCGCGCAATTTACTCAGGAACGGCGCTCCCGCCTGAGACTTCCTCGCAATTTAGTGAGGACCCCCGCTCCCGCCTGAGACTTCCGTGCAATTTGCTCAGGAACGGCGCTCCCGCTTGAGACTTCCTCGCAACTTAGTCAGGGCCCCCGCTTCCGCCCGAGATTTCCTCTCAATGTACTCAGGACTGCGCTCTCGCGTGCGACGTCCTCACAAATTATTATGGAGTCGCGTTTCGGCGCTCAGGAACCACGCGCGCGCCAAGGACGCCTTCACAACGTGGTATCTTTCCTCTTCCTTCTTCCTTCCCCCTCCCCTTCCTCCCACTCTCCCTCGTTCTTCCCCTCCTCCTCTTGCAGGGCCCGCGCCAATTCCAATGGCGGGCAGAGAGATGTACGCCCCCGAAGGATTGTCCGCCCGTTCCGGTTTGCCCGTACGTCTAAGCCCGCCGGCCCCAGCAAAGAGAAATAATCCCCCCGAAAGGGGTGTGATCGAAGACGAAGAGGGCGGGTATCGAGGGTGTAGGGTATACGTGTTGAATGACTCGCGGGCAAGTAAGAGCGCACAGCCTTAAAATGGTTGTTGTTGTTGTTGTTGAACATTATTAATTCTAAAGAATAATTATTGTTGGGACCCCTGGTGCACGGCCCCCCTGCGCCGCCTAGGCCGCAGCTACATTTTCATCATTTTCGTGAGGAAGCCTCAGGTAATTCGATGTGATCAAGATCCGGTTGTTTTGTTCCCCCCCGCTTTCCCTTGCAAAAAACACTATAAAATGACATTTCTTGTTCTAATATAATCAAATTTCAAGAATCCCTTGCAAAAAATAAGGTAAAGTGGACATTCGCGCGCGCAAGACGAAATCCTTCCAAAAGCTTAGTGTTCGGAGCGATTTTAACATAAAAACATCAAAAAACTAATGGTTTTTCAACAAAAAATGTCAAAATCTCATCCCGCGCGCTCTTGCGGATTCGTAGGAAACCCAACACTTTTTAAACATTTCTGTCAAACGGGCTTTTGCGAGCAACTTTTTCGAACTTCTGCGACAACGGTTGCGCACCTGCCAGGGCCATCATCCCTGTCAAATAATACCATGCGGGACAGATTCGTTTTTTCTTCGCGCGCGCACGCCGAAATCTCCAAAAACCATTGGGTTCTTAAGAATTTTAGCACCGCGCCCCTCCTCTCTCTCTTCTCTCCTTTCCTCCTTGTCCTGCTCCTCCTCCTCCTCCTCCTCCGGCGGGGGGCGTGAGGATCCGGCATCGCTCACAACCATCGGGACAACCATCGGGACAACCATCGGAACAACCATCGGGACAACCATCGGGACAATCATCGGGACAGTCATCGGGACAACGATCGGGACAAGCACAACCATCAGGACAACCATCGGGACAATCATCGGGACAACGATCGGGACAACCACAACCATCAGGACAACCATCGGGACAACCATCGAGACAACCATCGGGACAACCATATCCTCTCTCTCTTGTGTATTCCCACATCCCTCAGGAATTTGCCCTAAAGATGTGATCAACTATCTTGTGAGTACGTATCATGTGTATCATGTGTATCATGTACCATATGCATCATATGCAACAGATGTTCTGTGGAAGGCTTAACAACTTCTGTGGGTTAACAAGGCTTAACAACTTCTGTGGGTGTACGAACGTAGGCTTAACAACTTCTGTGGGTGTGTACTCCACGCC